ACGTACAGATTGAATGAATGCGAGCTGGCCGTACAGACACAGGTCACATTGGAAAAGATCAGATATTGGCAGTGGTGGGAAGTAACGAAGTACAAGTACTTCGGTACTGTACTCAAGTACAGTTTTCGTGTATCTGTACTTTACTTAAGTAGATTTAATAATGGATACTTTCTACTTTTACTCCACTACATTTTACAGTAAGTATCTGTACTTTCTACTTCACTACATTTCTACAGAACCGTCGCGTTACTCGTTACATCCACGTCGCATTGAGCTTTTTGTCCGTTAAAATGTGAAGTTCAGGGTCTTAAGGTGGCGCCGTAAAATCCAAGCAATAACGTGACTTAGTGTCTGTTGTCACCCGTCTCCACCTTTACTCGCACGCGGAGCTCCAGACATGCGCAGTGGTTTCCTCTGAGCGGGAGAAGATGTCTAACTAATCGATAATAGCTGCATAAATCATACGATATGGCGACATGTAAAACCAGCAGCGCTTCGCTTTCACAGACGGTGGGGCTTTGTCCAACTTTCAGCGTCACTTGGAAGGAAAGCTTAAAGAAAGGTAAGCTAGTGGACGTGATGCTAGCAAAGCTAGCTGTACTGAGACACATGTTGCATCTGCGGTGAAAAAAGTTGTCACTCATGCGCTGAATTATTGTGTGGAGGTGTTGAATGAGGTGTTGCAAATATGGAACAACGCTGTGACCAAAGTCTGCATTGATATGACATTCAGCAACGATCCGATTCTTCTGGACGGATCTTTACTGATTAAATTTATTTCAGCTCTAAGTATTTAATATCTAGGTTTTTTATAGGACTGTGGATCTTTCAGCTCAATTTGAGAAGCAATTTTGATAGGTAAAACTTAATTTTATTGTGTCACATAGCGCGGGGTGCTGGTCTTGACTTGGTCTCGGGTTCAGTGATCTTGACTACAACTCTGCTACTGGCTCCTTGGTTGCATGTTCTCCCTCACCCACCTTCTTTCCATCCCCTTTCTGTTGGATTTCTTTAAGAATAAATGCCACTAGTGGCAAAAAAAAGTGAAGTTCATGTTATGTTAGGAGACAAGATGTTTCCATCCCTGAAATTATGATGCATAGAATCACATATCTAAGTCTAAACTATGTTACAGAGTAAACACAAATAAAACATGCTTTACCTGTGGCATTGTTCATTAAAATGGCACATTTCTGACGTATTAAAATGAAATACGATCGGTTCACTTAATGATATTGTATTAGCGATTAGGTAATGCATTCAGCAAGTACTTTTACTTTTAATACTTAAGTATTTTTTAAAACCAGTACTTTTTTACTTTTACTTAAGTACAAATGTTAATGTGATAGTTTTACTATTACTTAAGTACAAATGTTAATGTGGTAGTTTTACTTTTACTTAAGTACATTTTTTGAGTACTTTCTCCACCACTGTTGTGCAGGAAGGAGATGATCTGAGTGGAACAGATAACCAGCCAGACTGCTGACAATATTTTTGCATTAAAAACAAGATGAAAAACACCATGAATAAACTTTAATGTGCTTGTTATTTAGCACAAAAATTAATTTCAACAGCCAACAGAGACCTGGAAACCATCAATAGCCATCGATATTTATGGCTACTGATGGCTGATTGGCTTTTGGAAGAGCAAAGGGGCAGGGGGAAATTCATGCAATTATTTTTCGAGCAGAGCAAAAATGATCTGCTCTGGGCAATGTGTGGGTGAGCATTTGGTTCGATCCGTAAACGGACATAGCCCCGATGTCTTTTTTTTTCATCTCAACGCCATTAGAAAGAAAACATCATCACAGTTCTAGAAATGGTGACAAATACAGAAAAGTCATTTAATTTTTAGGCAGAATTGGTTCAGACTTGGACTGGATCAGAGTCAAAGCCTTTTTTCAGACGTCTGACCGGTTCCTGTCCCCAACCCGACCTGAAGCTGCCGCATGTGCGTAAACCTTTGGGTGACTGTTATCAGAGTTGTGTGCAGTCTCTGTAAATGTCTGGCGGCTCCAGTGGACAGGCAGGCAGGGCCCACATCAAGCCGAACATGTATGGAAAAAAAATGTTAGCATCTGGTCTTTTGTACGTGTAAGGGGAAACACTGTTTATGACATAGTGATATAAATCATGTGGCGTGAATTCAGGCAAAGTTGGTAATTTGATCAACGCGTCAGCAGGTGGTGTGGGTCGTTTTTTTAAGCTTGCTGGTTCAAGCTTCTGTAAATACTGCTGTCTATGANGGTTTGTCGCAATTTGTCCCGAAGTAAACAGTAATCAAATGGTAAAAGTTGTCATTGGGGAACATGCTGAATGCAGCTTTACACACAACATTTAGGTGGCGGTATGGACTTTATTCCATTTTCAAAACTGGAGTCAGGAAAAATGTAAAAGACAAATAAATGCCTGCAGCCGACCTAAGAACAGCTGAATAGAGAGATCAACGGTATCAAAACACCGTGTTTGTATGAAGGTTTTGTTATCATTATATTATTGGTGTGAACAGTGATGGCATAGTTTGAAAAAGTAACTTTAATCAGATTATTGACTACTCCTTGAAAAAGTAACTTAGTTAGATTACTGACTACTTGATTTGGAAAGTAACAAAGTCACATTAAAAGTAACTTTTTAGTTACTTTCAGCACTGCTGAAAAAATTGTGAAAATTACATTGATACTTAATTGCAAGCTATTTTATAATAGTAACATCAACAATGTATTTCCACTTATAAGATTGAACTGAAGGGGAGATTGTTTAATGGTTACAACAGTACAAAAAAAATTTGTAATTTGTATGTTCCACTATTGTCTGGAAAATTCTAAGAAGGATTTTAAAGGCCCCAGCCTCCAGGTTCTGCGTTACGGCCCTGCGTTTGTTAGAGCGCAGCGCACAGCGCTTCTGCTGCCGCTCCACAACTCGGATATCCTTCTGCACAGATTTGTGACACTTATCTTAATATTAATTATTATAATGGCGTTTAGTTGCTCACAACTTTACGGACACGTTCATTCGTGGCTGTTTTCTCATTTATTGCTCCGTTCATATTAGTCTCGATGTTTGCAGTTTTCTGGAACGCAAGGCGAAGCTCGACGTCATTCACAGCAAATTTATTAACTTCACATTAGCAAAGACACAGCAGGACAAGTCATCCGTGACAGACAAATTATTGGATTTATTATGTGTCTTTGTTTATTTCCAAGCCCAAATGAGTAACTTCACATTCAAAAACGAGCCCCAAAAAGCGCAACCCGCGACTCATTAAATCTGCAAGGGACTTTAGACACAAAACAAACCCAAAGCCACTTATAATAATCGGACTTGGCGACAGAAACTCAAGATAGTTCCTGTTTTTCCAGCAACGAAATGCGCATCTCCCTCCATTGGCACCGAGCCATCTTTACAGGCCACAGTCCAAAACAAACGTTATCCCGGTGGCTTTATTGTGTTACTGACTGCAGTGAAGTTAGTTTCGAGTTGGATATTGGCCGAGCAAGCGGCGTTTAGCTCAAGGTTGATCCGATTTATGAACGCTAATTTCGGCCAGCCGTTCTCCAGCTCCCTCCTCAGCGCTCGGAGGTTCACTTAGGGACTGTCAACAAATTTCCGAGCCAAACACTCCTGTCAAACAAATGTTAATAAATGCCTTGACTTGTGACCAACTGATACCAAAAAGTGGTAATTCATGCTTTTACATGACACACACTACACTCTATTAAAATGTCAAGTCAATATTTTAAATAACTTTAATGCTAAATAATATTGTTTTCTTCAATAGCTTCCATATTGTGTGCCTCATTGACTAGAAATCAGAGTGTAATTGTTGTTCTAAACTGTATATATGAGGCACATGCATTTTTATTATAACTAAATTCTTATATTTGTTAGCTTTATTATGTTTAAATTTAGTATTTCTCTTCAATAGCTTCTAGGTCATGTGACCTATTGAGACAAAATCAGAGTGAAATTGTTATAGATCTACAACTCTAGATCTATAACTCTAGTCTCTATCTCTTTAGGTCCAAAAATAATAACTTCAGTTTTGTTTCTGTTCAGCTGCAGAAAGTTTTGACACATATATCTGTTTTAAGCATCTATTCAATAACTGGAGGGGTTCAGAGTCACCTGGTGACATGGTAATGTGTATCGACAGGGAATAAAAAGGGTCACATTGAATAAAAATGAGTGTACTGTAGTGTTATGCGGAGTCAAGGATGTCACCGGTACTGCATTTGAATGTCTTTAATGTTGAACATAACACTAACACATTCTTGGGTTGCTGAACAGTGTTGTTGGCTCTAAAGTCTCTCTAGTGTATACGTCACTTGTTCGCAGGACAACCTAATAGTTCCAGCCATCATCACGTTACGGCGCAGCAGCGTTGCGCTATCTGGATGCTGTGGGTCTAAA